AGACGGGAGGAGAATGTGTTTTGTGCCACAGATCAGTCTTGTCACAACCTTTTTTAAAAAAAAATGCAATGAAAATGTAAGATTTTAATTTCTTTTGGGAAAGGGGGGGGTTTATAGTCATAAACTGGATAACACTACAACAGTAATGAACTATTTTTTCAGATGGTTGTTGTGGATTTTTCGGGCTGTCTGGCCGTGTTCTTGAGGTTTTTCTTCCTAACATTTTGCAAGTCTCTGTGGCTGGCATTTTCAGAGGACAGGAGTCAGAACTCTTGTGTTCTGTGCCTTCGAAAATACGTATCTTTTCAGACTTTCAAATATGTGTAACTGGTTGTTGTGGGTTTTTCGGGCTCTCTGGCCATGTTCTGAAGGTTGTTCTTCCTAACATTTCACCAGTGTCTGTGGCTGGTATCTACAGAGTACAGCACTCAGTGCCAAAAAACCCACAACAACCATTAGATCCAAATATGTGTAACTGGTTGTTGTGGGTTTTTCGGGCTCTCTGGCCATGTTCTGAAGGTTGTTCTTCCTAACATTTCACCAGTGTCTGTGGCTGGTATCTTCAGAGTACAGCACTCTGTGCCGAAAAACCCACAACAACCATTAGATCCCGGCCGTGAAAGCCTTCGCGAATACATATGTGTAACTAGTTATTTTTTAAGAACTAAATTCCAAAACTCTACACAGTCCTGGCCAACCCTCATTCTGCATGGCCAGTAGCTATTCATAAAATAATTTGCATGACTTGTAGATTATGATTTAAAAGATGTTGTTTGATTGACAGTTCCATGATTTCATAACGCTGACATTCTGTATGAGACTAATGGCCTGGATTTCACACTCACAGATTCCATTCCAACCTCATTCCTAAGGATATGGCTCAACAGGGAATTCAGGAAAAGTAACTGAATTGTACTTTCTTTTATTACCTCATTTTGCAGTAAAAAAAAAAGATCACCAGTCAACTTTTTTTGCATCACAATCTCCAGCTTTTTTTGTAGCATCATTAGGACAGTACCAGAATTCTGAATAGCCATGCTTGATAATTATGTGACCCATTAGGTACAATTACTGCATTAATTATTTTCAGTTTGAAAAGTCACTGAGGAAATAAAACAGCCAAGTCAGGTGGCTGTACTTATGGGAGCCGGAGCCGATTGTAAGAAAAGATGGGTTGGATTAGGGAAGGGAGATAAGATCTGTAAAAAGCTAAACGTTATTAGCATCTGATGCTGTTGCATTAATCCCCATGAGATGTCTCCCTTTGAGTGGTGTAGGCAGCAGTTTGGACAAGAAGTCAGTGAACCTTCAGAAAAAGCATACTATGATTTCGCAGGGAGAAAAGTACTACATAAATGTTTGATTAGTGTTATTAACCAGGGTTAAGTACAAGAGTAGGTATTAGGAATAATTGTACCACTGCCGATTTAAGAGACCTTTATGACATTTGCTCTATATTTTCAAGCTGTTTCCAGTTTCAGAGAAAACAATTGATATAGTGACTTTACAGTTATAAGAAATAGAGCAGAACTGAGCTATGTTTCCTGTGTCAGGCGCCAGAGAACTGAACGCTAGAACGCAACTCCTTCATTGAACAAATCTGGAAACAGTTCTGAAATGAGGTATGCCTCATATCCAAGGGCATAATTCACCACTGTAAGGCAAATAACTTCTCACAATAGGATGTGCCAGAGCAACAATCTATGTTTTGGCAGTATGGGTGCAACACAGTGAAAAAAACTGGGCTTAGAACAATGGATGATTTAAAAAGCCCAATCCATCCAGGTCTGTGTAAGGGCAAATCTAGTTCTCAAAGGGTAGTGCCCTTCAGTTGTGCTTTAATTGTAGCTGTTGTTGTTGTTAATTTAATTTATTTTTATACCACCCATCTGGCCAAAGGCCACTCTAGGTGGTTTACAACATGTATAACCAACAGGCTTAAAGTACCATTCAACAAAAGAAAAAACAGAAATAAAACGCAAATAAACAATTCCATAAAAATATATTTACACAAAACATTCATAACATTTAACAATTAATGAAAATCTGAGTATCCAATATGTGTCTGATATGCACCTGACCTCTGTCATCTGCAGTGCGCTGTATGTACACTGGTTGTGCATGTGTTCACCTTGACAACAGGAACCATTCATACAGGTCACCTGCTATTCTCCATATCACTGAAGCCAAACTGGGTGTGACAGGCATGTCTCACTTTCTGATGCCCTTGGTTGTCTATCTGTGAGGGAAAAGTAACTCACCCATCCCCATTGAGGTGGCTAAATTGATCTCTGTATTTGTCAGTCATTTGACGAGGTCAATATACAGAAAAATGCATTGGAATCACAATGTGAGGTCCTGACTCTATAGCTACGCCAGCCTCTATGATCCATCTACCTACCTACATATCCGCCTGCCTACCTACCTACCTACCCATCCATCCAATATTTCACCTTTACGCCAATGCAGGACTCTGGGCAGTTCACAGCATGGGTAAGAAAGAGATGTAGCTAAAAATTCTTAAAAGTTATTAAAAGAAAACAGAATTTGATAAGTCATCATCACATTAAGAATGCAGTGAAAATGATTTAAAAACACAAAAGGAGGAAAAGGTAAAAGTATCACACTGACCATTAGGGAAAAAATATATATCAGCAGCTAATCAGTGGCCAACATTATGTTGCCCCAGTATAGTATTCCATGCATAGTGAGAAATTCCTTCTATATAGTCTAGAGGGTAAAACAATGGGGGGATTCTTAGAAATCAGTGACTGAGGGGCATTGTCTTCTGCTTCACAGGCCACAGACATGGAGAGAAGCACAATATTGTTTTACACACAGTCAACTTGTCATTGACTAATAATGACCCTGTGTGAGTGAATGGCTTCCAAAGTGTCTTGTCCTCAGCAGCCTTGCAGTAAACTCAAGGCTGTGGTTTCCTTTATGGAATCAATTCATCTGATATTTGGTTTTCCTCCTTTCTTGCTATTTTCAATTTTTCCTAGCATCATTGTCTTTTACAGCAATTCTTGCCTTCTCACAATGTGCCTAACATAATGACAAGTTTGGTTTCATCATTTTATTTTATTTTTTTTCCTTCCAGAGAAATTTCAGGCTTGATTGGGTCAAGAGACCACTTGTTTGTAGTTCTGGTGGTCCTGGCTACCCACAAAGCTTTCCCAGCATCAATTTTCAAACAAATCAGATTTTTTTCCCTATAGGAAACCATTTTGTTTCTCCATATTTTGTCCTAACAGTACCTTTTCATTCACAATACATCAGGACAATCAAGGACTGAGGCACACCAGTTCCTTCAGAACAATCCATAGGTTCTCATAATCCATATGGTTAAAAGCCTTGCTGTAGTCTATAAAGCATAGAGTGATCTTCTTACAACACCTTGAGTATTAATTTCTTGCATGGGAAATTAGTGCGATAGTCATATAGTTACTTCACTCTTTGGCTTCCTTGGCAACTGGAATATATACTGAAAGTTTCCAGTCAGTTGCATGGAAAATTAGTGCAATAGTCATATAGTTACTTCACTCTTTGGCATCTCCTTCCTTGGCGACTGGAATATATACTGAAAGTTTCCAGTCAGTGGGCTATTGTTTTATTTTCCATATTTGTTGACATATTCTTGTTAGGATTTTGACAGATGCCGTCTATGTGGCTTGAAATAGTTCTATCAGTATTCCTTCTACTCCTGGGAATTTATTTCTTCCAAGTACTTCCAGAGCAGCTTTCACTTAAATTTGATGGACTCATTACAATTTTAAGTGTTTCTTCCATCATTTATTTAGGCTTTTCTTTTTCTTTATTACAGAAATAGTCTTTTTGTATGCTTGCCTAATAACATCTCTGGTTTCAATGCACAGTTCTTCACATTCACAGTCAATCGAGTTTAGTAATGCAAATCTGTTGTTTATGTAGATTTCATTAATAATGTCCAAATGCAAATTCTTAAAGAGCATTAACTGTATTTAAGTTCTCTTTGAAGTCAAAAGATACATTATTTAATTTGCAAATAGAACAAGGAAGCCTTAGTTTTAACAGTTAATTATATTCAAAGCTATTTCATAGTCCTTACGGGGAAAAGCCATGCAAATTGTTCCACCTTCATATTCCATTTGATGTCAGAGGCTAGTTTTGCTCTAAATGCCAACTTATAAAAATGTTTGCAAACTATATTATTAATGAGAGAATGGAAAGCAATAGATTTCAGTTGTGTGGCTGCCCCTTGGAGATGAAGGATGTGATATGAAATAACTCACTGTGATTTCAATGGTCATACAGATATGGGATTTGAAGATGTTTTTCTTAATATCCATGATACTTTCTACAATACTTGTTGTAACGTTGTGCTAAAGAAGCCAATGAGAAAGTAATCAAAGAATTATTGGTTATGTACAGATGTGGTTTCTGGATATTCGTGTTGCTATGGGTATATGTTTTAGGACCTTCCTCAACCTCAATTTTCAAACATGTTAGATCACCAGTCTTGTCTGAAAGATCTCCCATCTCCCTGCCCCATCTGAAAGGTCTGTTATTAGATATGTAGTCTTTTCTTTTCTTTCTTTCTTTTTTTTGAAATTCCAAATTTGAGAACGGGATTTTTAACAAGAATTTTTAAAGAAGCCATAACCTACCAGCCATTAGAGTTAAATATAAAAATATATAAATCCCACTGTTCATGTCATAACTAGCTATTAATTAATAAATTAATGACATTAATTCAACAAGTTAAGCATTTTTCATGATAAATGTTAATACTTAAGAATTAATGCTCTGATTTCTAGCATTTCACATTTATGCATTAATACATTCAAACTTAATGTTCCAAGCTCTGCTACTTTAATAAAGCTTTAAGGAAGTTCATAAAAGCCAGACTAAAATATATAATAACAGTCCTATTGAATCAGTGAGCGTTTCTCAAATGCAACCTGAGTAAACGAACTGCACATTCTGAATACAAGTGTGAAAGGAAATGGGATCCTTACTTTTTTGTTGGGCTCTCATTTCAGCTTAATGAAGAGTGTCAATCAAAGTAGAAATGAACCATGAGATTCAGGCAGAAGGATCCTTAGATCTGGTAGAAGCTGCATGGAGAAAATCAGGGTAAGTAGAATGTCCAAATTTATCAAGCTGTGTAAAGTCAGTGTGCCTGGCCTGCAGAGCATAAGCAGTCTGTTTTTACCACTACGGCTCAAAGAGACAGGTGAAGATGAATAATACATTGGTAAGTCTGGATCACTAATCACATGTTAAACAGCAGGCATCTCACTGAGACCAGAGTTACAGCATGCTGTATATATCCTTCAGTACATCACACTCAGATACATAGCAAAACAGTCAAATGTCTAGGTTTTGCAGCTGCACAAACCAAACTACCAGTTATCAAACAGATTTGAAGGGAAACTGCCTTCAGCAATGTCTGTCTCCTACTGAAACAGCTGGGGGAAAAAGAAAGAAAACTGAGAATACTTATCTGGAGTTTTTGAGTCAAATACAAAGGATGGGGAAAAATGGAAAGGAAAAAATTTAATGTGACTTCTGGATGAACCATGTCATTTACTTCCCTCCCAACAAACTTGGTAGTATGTAGGGACCACCAGATCCTCTTTGGCTAAATGCTGCTGTCCAAGAGCTAGCCACTAGTCACATCTCTCCTATCTTGCTAGGAACATGGTGGCGCTGTGGGTTAAACCGCAGAAGCCTCTGGGCTGCAAGGCTGGAAGATCAGCAGTTAGAATCCACGCGACAGACTGAGCTCCCGTTGCTTGTCCCAGCTCCTCCCAACCTAGCAGTTCAAAAGCATGTAAAAATGAGAGTAGATAAATAGGTACCATCTAAGTGGGAAGGTAATGGCACTCTGTGGCTAGTCGCACTGGCCACATGACCATGGACAAAGGCTGGCTCTACGGCTTGGAAACAGGAATGTGCACCGCTCCCTAGAGTCAGACACGACTGAACAATTTGTCAAGGAGAACCTGAACCTGAACCTTTATCTTAGTCAAACTTTATATTAACAGAACAGTTGTATCCTTAGCCTGGAGCAGATTTAGATCTAGTGTAATGCAACTCCTCCCTCACTGCAGTCCTTCTCTGCCAATTTTTTGCTAGCTGACTTTTGCCAGCAAAGCAGTTCTGCCGAGAATTCGTTATATTGGCAGATCTTTGGGATCAGCCAGGTTTAGGAAGAGTCTGCTAACACTAAAACAGCTATTTTCAGCCAGACCAAAGGTGCCCTGCCAATATAAGGGCAGTGGTGCTGACACAAGAAGCTTCATATCTACTACAGCTGGCACATCTTTTGAGTTAGGATCATACCGCATCAGCCAAGAAATGTATTATTTGGACAGAAACACTTTTACTTCGACTATGACTGTCTCCATCAAACTAGAACAAATGTGGCCTGAACAAGGTGAGCATCAACCCACAAGCAGTAAAGCCTTGCTCCATGCGAGCTCATTTCATGAATATGGCAGTACCTACAAGGTACCAAAATGCATCTTGGATTTATTTCTTCTATATTTCTACAATATGCACAGGAGTCACTGTTCTCCAGTTCTATAGATTACTTTACATTAAAATGTTTATACCACTCAGCTCCTTGCTATAAAGTTATCATCTGCTTCTGCATATACATTGTTTTGGAGGAATCAGGGAGCCATATGGCCTATTTCTGGTTTTTGTTGGTTTGGTTGATGGTTGTTTTTTGGAGGGGTTGTTGTTGTTGTTTTTGCTATTTTGAGTAAGATCTTGTGTTTTTTAATCCACTCATTCCAAAAGAGAAAACATTTTATCAACAATTGTTTCTACATTCCCAAGATTTCAGATTTTCCCCTGGGAAGAAAAAAAAATGAAAATCTGTCTGCAGGGAAAGGGGAAAATTGTTGAAGGGGGTTTCCTAAGTTTTTCCATTCCTCCCCTGGATTTTTGTGTACTAGATCTCCTATTTTACCTGCAAAAGGATAACATGGTTTGCTTTCTAAGAAATCCCAAACACACAAAATAGGAAACAAACTCCATTGCTCCCACTCCTGAGTAATCACACTGAGGACTGTCCTATCAATGATACTTTTTCCACAGCAAGCACCATATGGGAAAGGATGCTGGTCTATATAGCACTACAATGGTCCTACGAACTGGTGAAGAAGTGGGTTTAAAGCTCTGCTAACGTCTGGTTGCCTGCATTTAAATGCTTTTGGAAGAGCATCACAGCATAAGTAACTGTTTGCTAATGAGGAGCTACTTTTAAAACTGCATGACTTCACCATCCTTGCCTTTCTGCGCCGACTACTCTTAATGGTACTTGACAAGTCTACCCCAAGACTTAAATTGACATGGGATTCACAGAAGCATTTCTCGCAGCAAAGAAAACAAGAGGGGTGGGGGGGGTCGCCCATTTAGATTTCTTCTCTAGAAAGACACAAGACTTTTAAAAGGATTTAGATTTTTAGAGGAGAGGAAGCAGCATTAATCAGTTCTCCATGGATAGAACCAAGGAGTAAAGGACATACACATACAATTACTGCCACTTTGTGCGCATTTCCATATTTACCTCCGACGCCTACCTAGCCCCATTTAAACAGCATGCTTGGAAAGAAAGGAGTAACCTGCTGTTCTCAGTGCTTATGATTTTATCCTTCACTGCTTTAGAAAGCTCTCTAGACCGTAAGTACTTGTCTTCCAGTGAAAATTCCAGACCTCAACCCCTAAGAAATCAAGGCATTTGCAATGGCTCTGCACACAGCTTACCTGTACAGCAGATGGCCAGGGGAGAGGCAGGCACCAAAACTGCAGAACTGTCAGCGCTTCCCTAGTAAGTTGGTGCCCGATTAAAATGGGTAGGGAGAATGTTCTCAAAGGCAGAGACTGCAACTGCATGGCTTCTTCCCAGTAGCCATGGTGCACACGTTAACACAAAGCAGATTCTAGATAACTAGTCAGAGACACAGAGGTGAGGGCGAGGTAGACTTATAAAATAATTATTATTTTAGATATTGATTATTTCCTCGGTTTGGCCTGATCAGGACAGAGATGGAATAATTTTCACATATTTGTTTTCAACACAAATGGAGGAGAGCAGAAATGAGATTGGAAGACATTGCTTAGTGTGCCAGCTTTGGCAGACTATGAAACAGACCAGGGTGGGTTCTTCAACATAAGCAGTGCAGAAGAAACTTTATTTTTCATTTGTTAGGTACTTAGCTACCTTTATTTCTCTTTATTTCTCCTTTTTTCTTAATAAATTCCTCCCTAATTGGTTGGATGAGTTGGCTGCCTACCTTAAGCCCTCATAGGAGGAATGTTACACTTACCAAGTTGTGTTTAAATACATAAACAACTTTGTGGTGTAAAGCTGGGGTTTAAGAGATCCTGCTTCTGATCCGTACTGTGTCATGAAACTCAGGTGGTGGTCTTCAAACTGTCACTCTCTCAGTTTGAGCTATTCACAGGGTTGTTGTGAATACAAACTGGAGGGAAGAGACCTATATATATGCCACCTTCTTTGGAAGAAAGCTTTGAAGCAGCAGCAACAACAACAACATTGTTAAATAATAGCCATAATAGCTGAACTTTGGAAAGGGAATGAAATATTAATTCTGGATTGCTGGATACATTCACTGCTTGAGATGGGAGAAAAGGGAAGTAGCAAGTGAATTAAGTGTGCAACATTAGTATAATTGATTCTGCTGCTGTGTAAAAATATATATAAAAGGCAGCTTATTCCTGTTTCTGCTGCTTATTCTGCACTGACAGGAGAGCTAGCACATTGCTGGAAGAAATGTTCATATATAGAGATGGGCACAAACCTCAGTTCGGAGGTTCATGCTGGTTCATATGTGCAGCACCTTCTCCTGCCTCCCCAGCCAATGACCCACTTGCCAGTCAGAGCATGCAGCTCTCCTCCTCCTCTTCAGCTGTTCAGCTAGTACCTGGCAGGAGCACGGTTTGGCTGCCCTGACTCCCCGGCCGAGTGAGAGAAGAGGAGGAGGAGAGCAGTGTGCACTGATTGGTGAGTGGGGGTCCAGCTGGGGAGGTGGGAGAATAGAACGTCCTGGCACAAACCTCTGAACTGAGGTCCGTGCCCATCTCTATTCATACAGATGGTTACTGGCATTGGAAAAAAAATGATGTGGAAGGATAATAAGAAAAGAGATAAACATGACTGACAGGTACAGACTGCTTCTGTGGCTACTGTCCTCCACACTAACTAAATGCCTTACATTCATTCAAAAGCAAATTCAACCAGAAACCATCCTAAGGAATAACACATGTCACTATTATTCATCTCTCTTATTTCATAATTGAATCTTTTTTATTTTCATGTCAGTGAGCCACTGTGGCCCTCAAAGAATATAAAATCATCACACCCATAGCCTATCTCCCCTCTGCCTCTTGAAAAAAATTGGTCTACATTTCTTTTCAGCCTCCGGGTACTTATAAAAATATCAGCCTGAATGATTCCTCACTATACATATTAAACACCAAGCTGTGCAAAAACCTTACTCATGCTGATGATCACATGAGAACACCCACTTGGATAACACATCTCCAAGTTGGTTCCTCAGCAATTTAAGAACTTCAAAAACTATTTCAAATATGCTAAATTCTGGATTTAGATTTTAAGAATCAGTCAATCAATCAATTAGTTTATTTCTACATTGCCTATATTCACTCCTGTTTCAGTGGACTGAATGGGACATATTTCATGAATGCCCAATAGCTGCATGTTGCTTATGGTGGTACAGCAATGTTTGGTGGCTTCCATTAAATTAGGAACAACAGTATTAACTGTACCCATGTCCCAACTACAGTACATACATACATACATACATACATACATACATACATACATACATACATACATACATACATACATACATACATACATACATACATACATACATACATACATACATACAGGCTGCCAGTCTATTTCCAGGCTCAGTTCAGAATGCTGGTTATGACCTATAAAGCCTTATAGAACTTGGGCCCAGGACATCTGAACAACCTTATCTATCTGT